CCAACAATATCTGCTTTTATAAAATATACCGTAAATTTGAATCGACCTTATCTCAACAATTTCGTCCTTCTCTTATCAGCATAATAAGTGGACTTGGAGATTAGCCTCCTCCCAAATCGGAGTGTAGTACTTCCGATTACCTGTTCTAGATGAGGTTCATATAACTTTTAGCTCTCCCCCTCAAAAAAAAAAAAAAATAAATAAATAAATAACATCAATCTAATGATCTCGATCGTTGAATACAATTTTTAACGCTTATATATATATTATAATAATGTACAATTGTTGTGTAATACAATGTCTAATAATATGTTTTTATATTTGATTTCAGCCAATGTACCGAAGTGGCTACAACCGATTCACCCCGTACTGATTATAATATTATCCTATATGAGATTATTATATACATATATACATTACGATTAACTTTAATTTTTACTCATGCATATATGTGTGTGTGTAATAAGGCAGCCATATAAAATAATATATATATATATATATATATATATTACTATTAGATCCATTGATATACATATAATATATCTATTTGACGACACGGTGACGAGATCCATTTAAATTATTTTAACTTCCTCCAATCTGGCATCTACCTTCCCCCCACTCTTTTGACTCTGAGTGAGTAACTTAGGCAACCACTAAATTAGTAATATTTTTTGAAAAATAATTAAACACGCACACACATATTATATACGTTGTACTATTATTATTATATAACTAATTATTAAACTATTGTCATCTTCGTTTTGTCTGCGTTATCGTGTTGTCAATATTGCRTAAAAAATATAAATATAGCCGACCATCCGATCCATACACAACTCTTCTCCCACAACCGCTGAACGTTTTTTTTTTCAAATAGTTAAATTATCATAGGTATTTATATATTATTAAATTAACGATTTAGGACTTTGAAACCTCCCCGAATTTTTTTTGTACGCCATTAATTTATTATTTATATTATTATTTTAATTGTTATTACCTATATGATTATTATCAGTTCTCCGAGATTCACTTACTCCTCCACCCTGTTTCAAAATATTGTTTAAATAATATAT